CAATACTCAAGACCGCAAGTACAGAGGACGCATGAAACTTCCCGGATGTGTTCTTGATATCGAGGACCCACCGATGCAGACTTGAGCACCGAACTCGCTCTGGAAGTCCCAGAAGTCATTGCGACTGGAGGTGGGAAGTGCAGCATTTTATCTAGATTTATTATTAAAGTTCAGAGATATGACTTATTTACCTCAGGAGTTTCCCCGAAATGAAACGGTGAAAGTAAACATTACCATGGACATCTTAATAAAGGAATAAACACATTAAGGGTGTTTGTTTGCTGAAATTCGTATTAAAATCAGTTTTATTTATATTGTGCAACATATATTTATAATGTTTTTATGCAAAGTATATATTTTGAAAAGGGGAAAAACAATAAATCGTTGTATGAAGGCTGTAATGTTTAAATAATTTCCATTTAAAACACGTGAAGGTCATGTGACCATCAGGAAGAACGCAGCATCTCAATTCTCAAAGGACGCGTTCTCTGCCCTCGCGGTCTCCTGAGTTCGTTTATCTGTGGACACCTGGCAAGACCGGTCTCCACAAGAACACAAGTCCGTTCTCTGCGTTCTTGGAATTGAGAAACAGCCCTTCGTTCATCACGGGCAAATCATATGCTTTTAGAGATGGAAAAAGAGTTGATCTTTTCATCTCTCGAGTCCTCGGGTTTGAGTCATTCTGTCAAGCGATAAACGAACGACTCAAGAACCAGAAGACTTGAAAGGTGAACTAATTATCATGGCTCCTATCGGCTCAGACTGTGTACATTGGTTAAGATTACTGTGACTGTCAGTGTAACCTGAACAAACCACTGACATTTGAAGACATGAAGAGGTGAGCTGAGCAAAGAGACGACAATACCTTCATAGACAAAAGAGCAGGTCAACACTGAATTATTATTTTCTCCTTCTTATAGTATTCTATTTATGACTTATTTGTCGTGTGATCAAACTTTTGGGCTAGTTGTAGATGTGTTTGGAAGCAATTCGTAACATTTTAATAATATTTTGTCAAATTGAACCAAATGAACGAAATGACTCAAAAAAAGATTTGTTCATCTCGTTGAACGAGACTCAAAGATCTGATTCAGTAAAATGATCCGAACTTCCCATCACTAGTAACTGCTCCTTAATGTTTATGTAGTTTTTGGTTCTGCTGTTTTTGTTCTGCTCATGCCAGGTTTCATTTCGAGTGTCATTTCTCTCCGTCTTCTGATTGGCTGCTGATGTAAGGCTGTAATCCAATAGAGATTGAGCTAATGAAGTTATAGGCAGGAAGGGGAAACATGTTTATCAGGACACAGGACCAGTTTTATGATACACACACACACAGACATATCTTTATTTGAAGTTGTTGCTTGCATCATGAATTTTTGACCAGAAAATAATCACAGTAGTTTTTCCTTTTTATTATCATATAAAGTTATTATACCAATAATGCTTCAGAGATGATGTCAATGTCGTTAATTTGGCATGTGATAATATAGTAGTGTTCTGCACAAACACAGAAGGAAACGCATGTATGTTTCTCAGATGTTGTTTTGGGTTCAGTTAAAGCGTTCGTCAGATCGAGTCTGGATGCAAATGTCCTGATGAGAAGCGCATGAGTGTCTGACTCTCCTGCGTCTGTTTGATCAGATTCTGCTCTGAACGACAGCAAACCAGAAACCCCATCATATTAAAGTCCAGCAGGAGATCAGTTCAGCTGCTCATTAAGATCTGTGTGTGTGTGTGTGTGTGTGTGTGTGTGTGTGTTTGTGCGCGTGTGTGTGTGTGTGTGTGTCTGTAAGTGAGTCAGAGTCCACTTATGTGAATATGTATGTTTCATTGTGTGTGTGTGTGTGTGTGTGTGTGTGTGTGTGAGAGAGCGCGAGTGAGAGTCCATACGTATGTGAATATGTGTGTTTTTGAGTGTGTGTGTGTTTCATTTTTTTGTGTTTTATTGTGTGTCTGTTGTGCGTGTGAATGTGTTTCATCATTTGTGTATGCATGTATTTGTGTGTTTATGTGCATTTCTCTTTCTCTGTGTCTGCATGTGTGTGCGTGCGTGTGTGTGTGCGTGTGTGTGTGCGCGTGTGTGTGTGTGTGTGTTTGTGTGAGTGTGTGTAACTGTGTGTTTGTCTGTGTGTGTGAGCGAATGACAGTCCATACATATGTGAATATGTGTGTTTCATTGTGTGTGTGTGTGTGTGTGTGTGTGTGTGTGTGTGTGTGTGTGTGTGTGAGAGAGCGAGTGAGAGTCCATACGTATGTGAATATGTGTGTTTTTGTGTGTGTGTGTGTTTCATTTTTTTGTGTTTTATTGTGTGTCTGTGTGTGTTGTGTGTGTGAATGTGTTTCATTATTTGTGTATGCACGTGTTTGTGTGTTTATGTGCATTTCTCTTTCTCTGTGTGTCTGCGTGTGTCTGCATGTGTGTGCGTGCGTGCGTGCGTGCGTGCGTGTGTGTGTGCGCGTGTGTGTGTGTGCATGTCTGTCTGTGTGTGTGAGCGAATGAGAGTCCATACATATGTGAATGTGTATTTCATTGTGTGTGTGTGTGTGTGTGTGTGTGAGAGTGTGAAAGCGAGTGAGAGTCCATACGTATGTGAATATGTGTGTTTCATTGTGTGTGTGTGTGAGAGAGAGCGAGTGAGAGTCCATACGTATGTGAATATGTGTGTTTTTGAGTGTGTGTGTGTGTGTTTCATTTTTTTTGTGTTTTATTGTGTGTCTGTGTGTGTTGTGTGTGTGAATGTGTTTCATTATTTGTGTATGCATGTATTTGTGTGTTTGTGCATTTCTCTTTCTCTGTGTGTCTGCGTGTGTCTGCATATGTGT